TCATTTCTGCTTGTCTTAGTAGGCAGACCACTGGTCTTGGTTTGAGATATGAAATCTCCATTGGATTTATCTGTTTTATTATACCGTAGCATCCACAGGAATATTCACAGCCAAAAGGAGAGAGAACAGATAGGCAACTTGTCTTAAATGCTGCTTGGAAAGATGGACTCGTGAGGGTCACTGGGACTCAGGAGGTGCTCTTCTGTCTTGTCTGGTGACATTCAGTGGCCTCTTAGGCCACAGGTTAACCAGGCCAAAGGTGACTTTTCCCACTTCTCTGAGGCCTCCTGAGAAGGTTCTGGTTCCTGGTGACCTATGCTTTCAGACTGTGCTCGAATGGTACCCTGAGATACAATGGCAGAGGAGAGATTTGTGTCCTCACTGGGATCTCACTGGTAGGACTTGGCATGGATGGCTGCCAGGGGAAGGTGAGGTTATGGTTTTGTCATTCCAAATGAAGCTGCCGATCCCAGCTTTTAGTTTCGGCTCCAAACGGCTTCTCAGTCCTTCCTTTTGTCCTTCCTTCCTTTTCTACCAGCTGTGAGGATGAACTGAGATCAGAGACTCATAAGTAATTTTGAAACTTGGCAAGCACAAGAACATTTTGTAGATAACAATAGTATAGGCAAAACAATTAATCCAAGTATATTTAATTATGTTTCAAAAGAGAAGTTGCTTTCTTATTGTTATTACATACACATACACACACACACACACACACACACACACACACACACACACAAAATCAATAGTGATTCTGAGGCTGGGCCTCTTTAAGGAATTAGTATAAAAGCCAAAGCAAAGGTCGTAAAAATTAGCTCATTTCTCTCAGCACAGGGAGGAAGTTTAGGTCGTAGCCTTCTAGCTGACTGTCCATGCCATGCTGTCTCCTGGCTCTAAGGTGTTGACTAAGCAGCTACTGTGAAGACACAGCTCATGTGGGGCCTGTTGTCTTTCAAGAAGCCGAGTGCTTAGAAGTCCAGTGTTCAGTTTAGAAAGCAGGGAATCTAGGCAACTGACAATAGGTTATACTGACCGATTATTCCCACGGGGCACTTGAGTATGGAGCAGTCCTGGGCAGGCCATTCATCTGTTGTCTCACAGATTTCCAGGACTATGAAACACAAGGCCTGCAGATCCATCTCTAGGAGATCAGCCTTTTGCCCTACATTTGCTTCTTCAGAAATACTATAAACACAGAAGCAATATTTAGTACAAGAGATTATGAAGCCAGCTGCCCACCCAATTATGTTTACTGGTAAAGTACACCCACCCCATCCATGCCTTTGCTACCATAGATACACCTAACCCACAAGAGGTCACGGGGTGGCAGTGACTGAAGCTTATGGGCACACTATGAGAATTACTCTTTTCCTTAGTAATTTTTAGCTCAAACTCAAGAGCCAAGGATGAGGATGAACTGGGATGAGTGCTTCTTCACACAAACATGGGACTTGGAGATATATATATATTTTAAATTCTAAGTAGCTCCAATTGATCTTTGTCAGGACCAAAAGGAAGTACTTTCAGAAAGCTGCTTTGTTTTGAGAGTCCATTTATGTGCTGGCCTTCCCCACAGGTGTAGGCTTCACATTTCTTATCCAATTGTTCTTTTTAGAGACTCCTGGGGTAGATCCCTAAGATGCCCTCAGGCTGTATGATTGAGGACACCTGTGTGGCCTCTGTTGCGGTCTGCTGACACTCTGCTAGACAGAACATGGCCATTCCTGGACTCCAAGAGTCAGGCCACGGAGACACAGTATACCTGCTATGGTCGTGCTTCCAGAGTTTTGCTTAGAATGGCAGCTCTATGCCTCCTAAAACTCCCAGCGGTAGGGGCGAGGGGAACAAACCGGAAAGAAGATTTGCTTTGTTGCCTTTTGCTTTTCTCCCATGTCAGTTGCCCATCAAGACTTGCTTGCACCCTAAAATCACAAGCAGCTTCATGGCCTAAAACAGTACCGATTGCAACAAATCCTGTCATGTGGCTGCTAGGAGCTGTTCGTGGCCCTTGGAGATAGGAACAAATCATGACAGCATTCTCAGCCTCCCTTAGTCCATAGGTTTTAGGAATAAAGATGTCACTTAATAGCTGGCTTTGCCAGCTGGTGTAGCACAAGGCTGATGTCACAGCACAGGCACATCTGCTGAGCAAGAGACTTCTCCCCATACCCCATCTTTGTCCCTAGGTATGCTGGAGATACTGTAACATGACAAGGTTAGCACTAGACAGGTGATGCAGCTGCATGTACCCTCTTGGTCCCTAGCTCGGTAAGTCCATCTCTAAGCAGCTGAGGTGCCTTGTTCTGATGTCAGGAGATGTAGGGCCCCAGCCCCAGCGTGTAGTGCTCACCTCTGTTGTGCCTCACTTGAAATGGTGCTTCTTCAACTGTTTGCTTTTATTTGTAAGGTGCTGTATATACGTTGAACATATGCACATACTCTACCCAATGGGTAGAACAAGAAATTAATACTGTAATATATTGTATAGATAACCAGTTTTAACAGAAATGGCATAGAATTTGTGAATGCCTATGTACTCCATCTTTTGTAAGGAAACTTGCAAATGATTACATTACAGATAAAAATCTATGTAGTTTATTTTCCTATTAAATACCATATTAACACCATGGAATGAAGTCTGAACAAGGAAGCAGCCGTTTATGACCAGCATATACATAGGAATTAAGTTGCACCTTTGCTCTGAAAACACTTTGGCAATCTCTAAGATATTTTTATTTTAATTCCTTTAGAAATAGTTAGACCAGTTTGGTTCTATTTTAGTCATGGGAGGGGGGGTTGCTTTTGAGCTTGCTCTGTGCGCAGGCCTTTCTCTCAATGTATTTATCAGTGTCAGGCCTCAGTGGGATGTGCAAATCTTTGATGACACGCATGGTGTCAGGAAAGTGAGTAACCTGTAGTAGAGGCTGTTAGCCTAAGGGCACTTGTGACCATTTGTGTCCCATGTTTCTCAGTGCCTTGTCTTATAAGTGGAAGCTATGGAGCCAATGAACTGTTTGGAATTTGTAGGGGGTGTCTCAGAATAAAAAGAAAAAAAGACCCATTGGGGAAGATATTAGGGCAGGGAAAATGTTTTGAGTTGTCATTGGAGAACTGTCAGCGGAGTATAGAATCTGAAGTCCATTCCTATTGTGTTCTGTGTCCTGACCCCTAAGACAATTAGGTTTCAGTATCGGGTTACATGTAAAGCTACATGTCAAGTCATACTTCTCTCTTCCAGCTTAGTCATTAGTATCCAATTGTAGCTTTGGCATTTTTATTTTTTATTTTTTTAAGCAAAGACGTCTTGGTGTCCATTAAACCACCATGGCTACTAAGTGCTATCCATAAAGGCAATCCATAGAATCCTGCCCGTCCAAGCTAACCCAGTTATGCCATCAGTTGATCATTTGAGTAATTCCAGGCTTTTCTTTGTTCTGTGGTATGTTCTCTTTTTTTGAAAGTCATAAACAGAATTATCCCCCAATCAGGGGGAAAAAAAAAAAAAAAAAAGAAGCTCCAAGCTAGTACTAAGTACGCTTCATGTGCGACTCTTAATGCTGACTCAGCTCTTTAACACATCCTGACAGAGGGGAACAAATGTGACAGTGGGTACCTCTCCTACATCTCATCCAAATCCAAGGTAATATCTCTGTCTACTGCAGGGCACACCCTGAGGGTCCTAGGGTCAAGACCTGAGGCTCAAACACTGTCAGAAAATGGGCACTCTAGTGATTGTCAGAATGTTCTGGATTCAGTAGTAAGATGTGTGACCAACCCGATTCCTTTCTACAGACCCAGCTCTGACGGAGCATTCCTCTCAATGATGCTGGTTCTGTCTGACGTGCTTGCCTTTTAAAAAAATAAAATCTCAATTTCAATTCATATCCTTGTTGAGTTTAAAGTTGTTTTTAAAATATATACAACAGTACCCACAGCATTTAGTTCATTTAATTTTTATTATAAAGCAATCTACTAAAAAAATACAACTGTATTCAAACCTTCCGATCTCTGTGAGCTATGACGATCAGAAGTCAGAGTCCTTTTGTGTTTAAACAACCATATGCTTACTCTTTACCATGATTCTTGCTTCTATACAGGAAGTGATTCACAACTGTCATCCACCTGCATCCTCTGCCCAGGCGGTGATGTGGTTTAGACCTCAGGTCTGTAATTGCAATACTTTTGATAAAGATGCTGCACAAGTGCTGTTTGTTAGTTATGACATCAGGTTTTCTGCTTGTTCTTAATGCCATGGTCAAATCATAGCACAAAATCATTAAAAATAATCAGTGATAAATAATCTGTTCCATGGGGTTGTTTGTTCACTTGTCAGATACAACAAATAGAAAACTGGTGTGTCTATGACCAGACTCAGAAAATGCCTTGTTTGTGATGTTCAGAGATAGGACCCAAGGCAGAGCGCTTCCTTGAACTACACACCAACCCACAGGATCCTGCTGATCATTCCCTAATTACTGGCTTTAAAATATTTGTATGTGTGACAGCTCATGTGTGGTGAGGGCCACCTGCTCGAGTCAGGTCTGTCTACCACATGAGTTCCCAGAGCATTCTTGGCAGTGAACGCTTTCAGTCCTGTTTTCACCGGTCTGTCACTGACTTTTAAAAGGATTTTCTAGTGTGTTAGAGACCTGGAAAGATCACAGGTTCTCAATCCTGAGTTCTAACACAGGACATTCAGAACTGGTTCCTGAGAATACATTGAGCCCATAGGGGCTTTACATGGCTGTCACACAGCAAGCTAAGTAGGCCTGTCAACAAACACTATTCCCTGATGGTGGAGGCTTTCAGATGTTCTGTGACCTACACTGAGAGGAGAGTATTGATGTGTGCTCTGAGTAAGGGTAACAATTCCAGATGACATGAGGATGTGCTAACCCCACACAACCTACCACCCAATGAGAAAAGGTGAATCTAGCATGAGACTAGAATGCTTTTTCCATTTCTGTAAATTTGTAATGAACAAAATTCCAAGGTCTTAGTGGAATAGTGGTTGGGCCCAAATTCTAGTCCTAACATTCTCTTAGATTCAGAGTGAGATTATTTTGGTGAGACATTTATAAAACTTAACAAGCAAATATAGGGCCTCTCATCCTTAGTCACCGGTAAAACCTATGCTCTCAGAGAAATTCTCAATTCAGCAGGTCATTGGAGACAGTCTCCAGATCTCCCAAGGTAAACACTGGTATGAGCAGGGATGACGGGTGTCAGGCTCTCCCTTCCCTCTGCCACTGGTACTGATCACTTCCGTGATGACGGATATGAGTTCCTCTCAAAGGAAAAAAAAATCCAACTCAGGTTCTCAGTTGTTTCAGGAAAAATAGGAGGATGCCAGAAGACACCGATGAGGAATATGTTTTGACAAAACAGGAAGGCTGAGCCTTAGAGCTGTGACTCCAGTTCAAAATAGACAGTGCCTTGTGGGACTTCTGCCCAGGTCCCCTGGCTGAGGACCTAGCAAGCTCTGAAGACCTCTGGTAAGACCTGATGCAGAAAACAAAGACCTTTCAGACAACAGCTCATACTGGCCTTTGAAAACCGTTAATTCTGTTTCCCGGTGGTACTACTTGCATTAACAGTTTATAAGAACCCATTATTTAACACGAATTACTTAAATTACATTACTTAAAACACATTACATTTTCCTCACTCTGTCTTGATCTGTTTGGCTTATATAGATTCTAATTAAAACACACACTTTGAAACATCAGCCCCTAAGGTAAAGCCCTTGTATTTGGAAAATCAGTTTCAAATACTGTATTTTTATCAAGACTTTAACTTTTGCCTCAAGAATGCAAATTTCATTGCTCTGTCTTATTTCCAAAAAAAGAAAAAAAAAGTAAGAGCAAAAGCTGGTTCTGCTAATGTGACTGCACCACCGATAACTACACATCCCAAAGGCCTTGAGAATTCCCTTAAAATCTTTCAACGCCACAGTAGTTATGTTCAGTGGCTCCTGTAATTTAACCTGTCAGATAGTGTTCTCACTTAGCATTTCTTCAGTTGTCAATCACTTGTGAGTATAAAACAATCACCTGAACAGACAGCAAGAGGGGCTGGAAACCCAAGCGCAACCATGTCACCCCACTCTTCCAGGGACCACCAGCCCAACTTGGTCTTCATGTGCTGAGAATCTCATGATACCCCGAGGTAAGCTGGGACATGCTACTTGCCACAGCATCTTTGGCATGGGGTTGAGGTGGCTTGTTTTTGTAAATACTTCATCTATACAGCAAAGAGCAGCTCAGACCTTGGGTTCAGCAGGCTTTAGATGGTTCAAGAACTCACCTCAGATAATCAATGTCCCTGGCTGGAGGGAGTTCCAAACTTTCATTTACAAAGCATGTACAATTGTCTCAGTCAAGCAGAGCTAAAGACAAGGGGCCACTTAAGGGAGCTGGAACAGCCCACCATATCCTCTGTGTCCACATGAAGTGATAACTGCTGGCCAATGAGGTTCCATCTTTTTTCCCATCCAACCTGAAGGTATGGGCACACTAGCCATACACTGTCTTCTAGGTGTAGGTCTTGTGATGTTGTCCCCTGTACACAAGGCACACATCTGCCGAGGCAGTGAAGAATGCACATGCTTTGTTGCACACAGTTGTTCTGCTTTCGTTTTATAGTACTGGGAATACTTCATAGGACATTTGCCCTCTTAATAAACACATCGCAGGCTTTAACCTTCATTTTCATGGGAAAGCACTCTCTTTTGGTGAAACCTAGTGTTTCCTGAGGATTCACTGAACTTCACTGCACCAAAAATCTCCATAAATACCAATTTCCAAAGGCTTCAGATGTTCTGGCAATTGACAGCAATTGAATGGAAAAAATAAGTCTCAGCTGGCATCAAGCATGCTACTGACACAGTTTCAGACACCATGGCCACTGTCTGGTATTCTATATGGGCAGGAAGAAAAAAAGCAAACTCATTTTGAACCAAGGTGACACTGAGAATTTCTTGAAGCCAAACATCCCATATTATGTGAAATATTTTTTTTTGTTACTTATATGTATAAAATCTAGATTTGATTGAAGTTTTCTCAATTTTTGTTTGACAATAGTTTTTACTTTGGGCTAATGCATACCTGTTTGTTATGGTCAAAAGAGGTATAGAGTACAAGCTGTGTGTCTGCAATAACCTGCCTCTGCTTCTCCAAGGAAACAGAATGTAGATGCTGACTGAGGTCCCAGGTAACAGAGCCCTATGACTCTACACTGCCATCACCAGGATACCAAGCAGGTAAGGACACCCAGCACCCTTTGTGTGAGAGAAATAAAGCAACTGTAAGACAAGTTGGCCACCATAGTAAGAGTCCCAAGGAAATACGAATTCCAATGAGTAAAAAACATACTTGTCATAGAATCTTCAATCTAGTACTCAGAGGTGCAAATAAGGCAAGAGCTAACCTATGTTCGTATAAATATGCTGTTACCCTTCCTAAAGTCAAAGCCAGGATTAAGAGTAAACATTTAATTGGAAAAGGATGATACAGAGATGCAGTAATTTTGTGTAGCATCTTTATGGAATTGTCAAATATGACAAAAAGTGCCTTTTTACTATATGTATGGATTAAAAGGGGGAGAGATTTCATCTTGTTAAAATAAAAAGTTAGGTTTCAGCTGGAAGCCTCAGGCTCTTGGAAGAATGCTCTGTCAGTTTGCACTCTTGACTGGGAGTTGAGTTTCTCAGCCTTGCTGAGCAGACTTTCATGGGATACTCCCCGCAGGTGTCCTCCTCAGTTCAGGGACTGTTTGCTAACATTTAAATTGGGCAATATTCAAGACAGAAAAAGGTGGGACAAAGGGAGGTGGCCGAGAGGAGGAAAGAGAGGCGGTGCAGTGGAGGGAGCCATTCACTCATCTCTGGAGGTTTGTTCTTTAGACTGATTTCCCAGAGAAGACAGCAATGATGCACTTCCCACAGCTCACTCCCTCAGAAGCCATATTCTGAGATTGACCTCTCTTTCTTATCAAGGCCATTCAAGCAAATCCTCAGAATAATCCATGTCCCACTCGGCCCTCAAGGGTTCTACAGTCAGGGTGCATTCTTCCTACTAAGAGGATCATTCTTATCAAAATAACCAAATAATTGCCACAGGATACTCAGGATCTGTAATTACTGTTAGTGACTATCAATGATGTATAGGGAAGAATACAGCTTAATTTTCAAAGCTCAATCCTGGAGACACTGGAGACCATCAACTTGTTTTGAATGGTTAGAACGAACAAAGGACACAGAGGTCCATCACAAAGGGAAAGAAAAAAATCCTCAGAGGGAAAATCAAGTCAGTGAGCCTAACTCAGCATTCACCTATGAGAAACTCAGAGTGTAAGAGAATGTTCTCATTAAAAGGCCATGCCAAAGTTCATGGTGAAAGAGGGATTCACCATGGGAAACAAGTGTCCCAAGACCATTCCAATCATTAGGAAAGACATGAGGTCCATACTTTGCTGTCCTTCGGGTATATGACTTTTCTTTGCCTTTCTCTTTTTTAATGGATACCCTACTCAATTCAGAATTGGCAAATAGCATACACATGGGCCAATGGAGACCAAACATAGTTACTATTTGAAGAATAAAAGACACCCTTCTCATTGCTTCCCCTGCCCGTTCTGCAAATCTCCAATTCAGAGACCCATATATCCCTCACCACATGCTTGTGTGCTAATCAGGCACGAAGCCAAGGCCTGTATGACTCTGACAGCATGCCCCTTCGTGAGTCAACTGCACAGTGAGTTCTTGATGCCAACAACTGAATAGCGTGTAGGAAGGGCACTTAAGTAGGTCAGGGAGAACTTTCCACCATTTACATTTGCCCTAGATTAGGTCGTATGCAGACTCAGTTTTGAAAATCTGAAACAATACACTAGCAAATGAACTGTAGCTACCAGGAAAATTATTCCTTTAATTCTACAACAACCTTTATTTAGTAATTAAAAAAAATGTGCCTGTATACTACAAAAATCTTCTCTATTTGGAAAAGAACTAGAAGCCCCTCACTGCAGTTATCATCTGTAATAGTTTGTTTTCTATCCAAAGCCATTAGGAAATCCTGAAGACTTGCACACCGTGCAGAGAACAGTAAAAGCAGCTCAATGTGTCTAAAACACAGCTTCCTTTTCTTCAAACACCTCTTCTGCCCAAACTATAAAGATGTTTAAAATTCCTAGAAGCATAGTCGAAGACCACAGAAACAAGGAACGAACCAGCTCATTCCCCTGCACATGAAGAGCATGGCTTTTTCCTCTGGGAAGGAGGAGGCAGCCTTACAATGGAAACTCAGGGAAGAGATTGGAAGGCTTGGTTTTATTGTTTCACGGTGCAAGGCAGCTGATCCAACACACATCTTTTCCCTTTGGTGAAAATGAACAGCACCCCATTTTGCACAAAAGGCTCTCAATGATGATGTGATATTCTAAAAGGCTGGTTTTACTCTTTATTCTTCAACAGACTAAGCCTTCATTTGAACTTAATTTGCTAGGCAAATGATTTTTGTTCATATTTAAAACATTAAATCTCAGTCACAGCTCCATTTATGACATGAGTGTATCTTTCAAAAGAATGGATGTGCATGCCAGGCACGGAGCTGCCTGGGTTCCCCTGCAGCTCAGAGAAATGCAAGATCCACTTTAAATAAAATGCAGTTCAGCATATGCAAAAATCTATACACATTACACATTTTGATAGTTTAAGTTGATATGTTACTGTTGTCTGCTATCAACATATTACAGAGTTTCCTATAAGCTGTTTATTTCTTGCCTTAAAGATAATACACTGGCAACAGCATTTTTATGACATAACTGATGCCAAATAGTAACAATGTAGCATCTCAGATCTTTAGAAATATTTTCATTGTATTTAAAAGCACACAGAAGCATTTCCTCATCTGCTCTAACTGGGTACACATGACCTGGACATAAAACTGGATGGTGATAAGATTTCAATGGACTAGGCAGAAGATATCGACTCAGGACAAGTGTGGGACTGTGTAAGGGTATTCTGGGTCATGGCTGGGGAGTTGCCTAGAACCCCGAGACTCTTGTGAGAACCGGCAGGAGTTCGGCACGCCCTTAGAACCCAGGGTCCTGAAAAGCAATCTAGTCTCCATAAAACTCAGTCACGTAGGCCGGCCATTACAGCCCCTCCCAAAGTGCACAGGTAGAGGGTGTGTCTAGAGGCCTCAGGTCCTAGGGATTTACATACTAATGAATGCCAGCGTGGAGCAAATTAAGCATGCCTCCCCAGACCCTCCCTCTTTCTCCCTCCCTATATAACTCAGGACTTCCCTGAGTTTTACGGGGCTTACTTCTAGATTCATCCACCATCCGCCATGACAATAAACCCTTTTGGAACCAAGCACTTTCTCGTGTCATTGGGGCCTGCCGCCCAGGCTGCTGGAACATTAGACGTTCCTCCTGCATGTGGGACCTGCCGCAGTGTGGAAGCCTCCGAGCCTCCACCACTGCTGCAGCCTGTAATTTTTCCCCACAGACAAGAAAGTTGGAGTCTCACGATTATTAGCAATGTCTTAAGAGCTCTCCAATTATGCACTACAACAGAAAAAAGGTTTTAAGGAAAGAACTCTAACACCACATGTTAGCATAGCATTCTTGGTGAATTAAAAGGGAGGAAATGTGAACACACCAGCATTTAGTATCTGACTATTTAATAAGCATGCTCCAATGTGGTGCCATGTTTATACTATATTTGAAAGTGTGCAGTCAGTTTGTAGTAGTGCACTCAGTGAACTCTGCCTCATATTAATTATGCTGCCAACAAACAAAAGAAGACAGAACAGGACAAATTCCCCTCTGTAATTCCTCCAACCCAGAAAGATTTCAACCACAGCATTTTTACTTAAATGGTGTTTCAATATAATGATTGAGTGCCTCAAGTGTGAAATTATTCCTCATTTCCTAACTTTGACTAAATTAAGCACTTCACATAAACTCCGACATGAAGCAGGGACTGAATGGGATGACAATGTGGCAAGATCTCTGACATTCTCCTGATGCTAAGTCAAAGCCAATGTTCTCTAAAGAGGTATTTCTTGCTGCAGTGTCAATCAAGGATTAGACCTGAAGGAAAGACACACAAACAGAAAGTCACTCTACAGTCAGGGGACTTGCCTGACTGTCACTGAATGATTACAAGAAGTAAGCTTTTTGGTATAAAAAAGCAAGCAGAATATGTAAGCAGTAATTTCCCCTTCCAATAGGAGAAACCTTAGCCACCACACTAATGGTACCCATGACAGACAGGCCTCTTTTGTTTTGACCAGGGATAAAAGACTGAAATCCGAAGAGTTGAAGCAGCAGCAGGAGAGATCTTGGAAACCAAGGAACTCTACAGATGCTCTGTCCACCTGCTGTCTACAAGCACCACCCACGAGCGTCCATCTCATCCACATTCCGTTACAGACTTCTGCTCCTACCAAAATCGGCAGTGGTCTTTCAGAGCTTGATATAGTTAAGAACAGTGACCCTGATGTGACAGCAATAATAAAGTGTATAAAGCTTTCTTTCATTTTTCTCCTAAGATCAGCTGGAAAAGACACGTCACGAGAACGTCTGATAGTCCATGTGACCACTCACCAAGCATAGTCAGGATTGAAAAGGAATTAGCTTTAAAAAATGGAAGTTGACAAGCTCCAGTTAAAAACCATTTTAAAAGATCATTTCATTACACAGCCAATATATCTTATTTATAAATGTAAGACTGATTCTTTACACAACCTTCTTGAAATAAGGTGGTAAATGGTAGGGAACTTCTCCAGTCTCTTCATCCAGAGTTTGAATGGTGTAAGTTCATTCTCACAGAACTGGGTACTTAATGACATTTCCTCTAGGAGTGGACTGACCAGCACACACTTACTGCAGGTGTCAGAGAAATGAAGCAAAAGACTCTGATTTCTAGGACATTAACTACTGCTTATTGCTGCAACTCATATAAAATTTGTATGCTGGGTTCATTTCTTCATTTTGAAAAACATTGATTTTCCCTATTGTTATTTAACTTAAAAAAAAAACAACAACTATTTTTGTTCTTTAACCCTCAGAGAATGAATACATTTAGGCAAGTAACCCAAAAAAGAAAAAAGAAAAAAATCAGAAACATGTTCTCTGCCCAGAGTCTACAGAGGGTTAAAGTGTAAGATTTTCTGTAATAAGGCACCCTTATTCCACTTTTTTCTTAAAAGAAACTTTTTCTTTGGTTTCTTGTAACTTTTCAGTGAGTCTGTCCTTTGTCTCTTCCATTTTCTCTGTGATGAGCTCCTTGGTCTCTTCCATCCTGCCCTGCAGATACTCCTTGACAGGGGGTGGGGTTGACATGTAGCCATGACTTCGCAAATACTTAACGGTAATGGATGTTCCTCCCAAGGTCACAGTGTATCGGGCAGGCGTTGCAATCTGAAGGGGAAAGAAAAGCAAACAGGTGGAACAACATCTGATCAGGAGTAAATAAAATTAAGTTGCAATTTAAATTTTTGGTAATAATCAGCACAGACTATTGTTTGAGGTGAGTTTATCACCCTATATTGTTTGTCTTTCTAAGAAGGAATACTTTTCCTGCAGACATTTTAAAATGTCTGTCCTCAGATGATAGACCACTTAAGATTTCAGGGTTATCACAGATAGTTGCACTGACACCCCTTTAAAAAAAGATTTATTATTTTTTTTATTTATATGAGTACACCGTTGCTGTCGTCACACACACTAGAAGAGGGCATCAGATCCCATTATAGATGGTTGTGAGCCACCATGTGATTGCTGGGAATTGAACTCAGGACCTCTGGCAGAGCAGTCAGTGCTCTTAACTGCTAGGCACACCAGCCCGCACTGACACCCTTATGGAATGCTAATGAGCACAGGGCCAGATCTGCCCACATGGCAGAAAGAGGGCATGAGTCTGCTGACAGTAATACAGGTGCACCTGTTTGTGCCCTGAGATCTCTGCCATGTACTATATCAGAAGCTAAAATGCAGCTGAAGTTGAACAGTGGGAGGAGGCTGAGCAAGTCACATCTCTGCTGGATCTGTGTTTGCTCACCTTCCTTTAACTCTCTCTGCATGCATGTTCCCATCCCACGCTACAGGCTCTGGAGCGGACAGCTCCCTAGGATACAGCCAGGCCTTCTATGTTTTCATCAGAAAATGACAAAGAATCAAGAGACCTGAAGCAGTGGAAGAGCTCTGCAGAAACAAATGGCCACATGGCACCAGCAGCTCAAGCAGGCGCACTACACAGCAACCTTTGGAAAGCACCAACCATGCTCCCTCAAGCTCTCACGATTGCTCCTCTATTCCCACCAACCTGCTCTGATGAGTTTTAATGGCTTTTGGGGAAGCACACACACCATTACACAGTGAACAGCCTGGGCCCACTCTAAGATGGATCCCTCGGCCTGACTCCCATGCACTTGGTGCCAGGACAGGCCCCAGCTGGCTTCTCAGGCTCACTGGCCACTCCACTCTAGCTGTGCAACAAGGTCTGCAGACTCTTTTTTCCACTGTCTCACTTCCATGTTGGCCTGCCCAGGTCATGCTTTAGTGCCATCTATATAGTAAGAATTCTTTATTTTCAGCTCCATATTGAACCCCTTTCCTGAATTCTAAGTCACTTAACTACCTAACTCACTTGTACTTGCATATCTGAATCCACTTTAAAACTCAAAATGTACAAATTCACTGACCTCAGTTGTCCCAGTCAGTCCTGCTTCTTCTAAAATCTTACTCAGCACAGGGAATGGGAACTTTGTTGTTCTAGCTGCTCAGGCCAAAATGAATAGCTCTTAATGCGTTTCTTTAACATAATTTGCATGCTTATCATTATTTCTTTCAAACGTGTCCACTATCCTCTCCTCTGCCTCTCCTTAGTACTAGGGCACTGAACATGTGAAGGCCTAGGCTTCTGTGACAAAGCCTTCTCAGAGGCTTTTGTTTTTACTCGGCCCCAATGTGAAAGGTTCTTAGCACAGCAGCTGTGGTGAGATTGCTGAAACAGAAGTCACATGCTTAAAGTTACTCAACAGCTTTTCAAGCCCCACAGCTCACAGGCTCTTCTGGCAAGACTTTCAGCCTCTTGCTCATTCCAGCCACAGTTAGCCCACTAGCATCCAGCATTCTGTAGCCCTCAAGGTTTTCTCTGCTGGGAACACAGCCTCCTGTCCCCCCCCCCCCCCCCAAAGAGTTACCAGATCAATTTGCTAACTGCTTGAAGCACCTCCCATCTAAATTTGCAATCTTGGTGGGGGAGGGGAACAGGTAAGGTGAGGGGAAAGGGACAGGATGGACAAAAAACACACCTCTTTATATGGCATTTCTTTCAAATAATATTTTAAAATCTTTATTTTATGTTCATGAGTCTTTTTCCTGCACATATGTATGTGCACTGCCTGTGAGCCTGGTGCTGACAGAGGTCCCTCCAGAACCAAAGTTAGAAATGGTTGTGAGCCAACAGTTGAATGCTGGGAATTGAACTGCTGCTCTTCTGCAAGAGCATCAAGCACTCTTAACTATATTCTTTCTTAACATTTAGTATAATTTAAATATACATACATTATATGTGTATGCATGTGTATTTTTAACCCCTCTATTTCTGTCTCTCCAATTGTCCATGGCCCTCCCACACTTATTCCTTAGATACATGGTTTATGTGGGGGGGGGTTCTTGGTAGTGTTTTTTGTTTGTTTGTTTTTTATTTTTTTGTTTTTGAGACAGGGTTTCTCTGTATAGCCCTGGCTATCCTGGAACTCACTCTGTAGACCAGGCTGGCCTCGAACTCAGAAATCCGTCTGCCTCTGCCTCCCAAGTGCTGGGATTAAAGGCGTGTGTCACCACTGCCTGGCTCTTGGTAGTGCTTTATTTTCTTCCCTTCCTGTCTTTTATTTTTACGAGAAAGGGTTTTATTGTCTCAGAACTCATCATGTAGACCAGGATGTCCTTGAACTCGGAGAACTGTTTCCTATTTCCCAAGTACTACAACTAAAAGGCATACTATAGCATACCTGGCCCAACAATGTTTTCTGTAATTAGTGAATTCCTCCTGGTCCCCAGCATAGCACCTGGCATGGAGTCAGAGGTGGATACATCTTAGTAAACTATAGGTAGGTACATGTTAAAGGACATTTGAGGGAGCTCTGATGTGTACCCAGCTAGCTGCCCAGTACACTTACAGCTTGAAGAAGAAAAGGTATCTCTGCTGTTCTACTAAGGTACTGTGGGATATAGAAAACACAGGACCATACTCATTTCTCACCCCACAAAGGGACATGAAGGGTGTGTGTGTGTGTGTGTGTGTGTGTGTGTGTGTGTGTGTGTGTGTGTGGTGGGGGATCCACAGGATTTGTAGCCTTCCAAATAAGCTGAGCACTGATGCACCCAAAAGTATACTAAAGAGAGCAAAACCACAAACACAGGCCCCTGAATTCCTGAAAGTTCATAAGCACCTAGAGAAAACACACTTAAAACATAATATGAAGAGTTACTAGCATATGGGCAAGGAGAGTCAGAAAAATGACTGAAACCACCATCATATACCTTGATATATTATGGTTAAATTTAATTTACTATAGCTATAAAACACTATAAATTTAATATACTCTAATGTGAGAAAAACAGAGCAATTAAGTATTGAGAAAGCTGCCTGAGAGTTCAGATGATTCTAGTAAAGATGACAGGAAAAAAAAAATCACACCTGAATAACACATCTGAATGACTATTAAGTCATCATTCTATGTACTTTCATGCAACATAATACCTACTTTCCCAAAATGTTCACTTAGAAATAGAAATCATAGAATCTTTTATTTAAAAAATAGATTAATATAGCCAAATTCAATGATTTACAATGAGATTTCGCTTCTATGATAAAGACATTCAGGTTAGAAACTATATAAACAGAATAGTGTCTACATCCCCTGGGAACTAAACCTAGAGTGGGGCACACAAGACGGCTGGAAGTAAGCTGTCAGAATCCCATGTACTTAGAAAGGATGAACTATCAACAATAAAATAAATGTTACATTTCAATAACAAGTCAGAGGCCAAGGCCTCCCCATCCTGCAAATGATGACTTACCTGTTTTCAAGGTGCTTCTTCCTAAAGCTCTAGTTTTATTTTTGTACTTGCTGTTCATTAGAAATACAATAGGTGAAATAGGATATTTAAGTGATAAAAAGAGGAAGAACATGTCAGGACTAAATGTGAATTTTCCAGGGAGTGTGCAGTCTGTGAGGTACATGAGGAACCTACCTTAAACATGGCATAGGCTGTCAGTGCATTCCCACTTTGGGAGTTTTTCAGGATGTCTACTACACTGTCAGGTAACCCAATGACCTCTAGGAAGGGGATGACATTCACTCCTCTGAAAGGAAACACAAATTAAGTCATGATTAAGCAAAACTTTAAGGACAGTATTTTCAGAAGATTATCTAAAAACATAAACTATAAATTTGGATAATGTATATTAAATTTTATTTGCTCAGGAGCTTAAGGCTGAGGGCTCAGGAATGGGAGGCCAGCCTGGGCTACATATCTCAAAAGACAAAACAGCAGCAACAAAACTAAACAAATCCAAACCAAGCTACCACTACTACCACCACAACAAAACAAAAAAACCCAAACCAAACTCAAAGCCTAGTGCTGGTTCTGCAGAAGGCTTCTACCTTGCCCTGCATGTGCTCAGGTAGTCCTGTCACCTTTCTCTTCCATGGCCCAGTTAGTCTGGATATGTGTATCAGAGTTAAAGCAACGGTCTTAAGTCAGCCAGGGGAGCAGGTCAGACCTGTTTACCTGTTACCGGTTTTCCTTTCCTCACCCAAACACCATTTTCCACAGAATACTCTAATTCACATTTCAGGATCTTAAATCTTAACTTTCGTCACTATCGTTTCTATGATATTATTCAAAGAATGAGTCATTATGGGAGTTTAGAATATTCTAAAGGTATGCCTTTATGCTTACTGTCAGATTAAAAGGAAGGTAAGGAATAATTACAACAAATTGCAACAGCTTCTCAGAGGAAGAGAAGGCAGGGAGAGCCCCCAAGTTGGTAAATCCTGACTTCTGTAATTTTAGTTTCCTCTTTTTGTTATACCCCATTATCCTAGTCTTTCCTGATTATAACTAGATAATCTGAAGCAGGACAAGGAATCACCCACACAAACTTTACAATGATCACATTTAGGAAGTTTAATTAAAAAAAAGTGTGTTACTATAAAATCTGTAATTTAAAGAACTGCCTCAGAACACCACTGCTTCCTTTCCTCTTTCTAGTCTCTTCCTCTCCAGACATGCCTTTTAGAACCGTGGATAGTGAAGAAGGCAGACATAGTTATTTTTAGATGTCCAGGAGAGCAGGGACTCAATTTGGGACTGGGATTTCTCTTGAGGAAATCCGTATTGAATAGTCTCCCGCAGGGAAGCTCCACAGGTTGAAGTGTGTCGACTTTAGCACGACTGTGGGAGTGCACAACATCTGTCCTTGTCCTTGTCCTGTCCCGGGCACTTAACAGCCTTTAACTACAGCAGAGTCCTCAGGTTGCTCCAATATAACCATCTCTTTCCCTTATCATTAAGAAAGTAACTGCCTGGACATACTATTAAGATAGTTGTATGCTTTTAATTTATTTTTAATAATAAAACAATTGGCTTAACTGGGGAAAAAGGTTGTTTCACTACAACACTAAGCCACCCGGGAGTATAGTAGCTACTGCTAATTATTACCCAGGAAGTCTAGCAAGCATCAAAAATTTGAGGGAATAAGAGCAGCAGAAAGAACTATTTTAAAACAGAATATTTCAAGATCAACCAGGAGTCTATAATATAACACCATCTATTTGCATATTCATTTTTTTAGATAACAATAAAATCCTATTATAGTAAGACTCAATATTAAATGTGGCCTTTTAATGGCCAAGAGCTGTGGCTGACAGTGGGTCCCTCCCAGGGTCTTCATTAGGAATCTCAGTCTCTGGATACTGAGCATCTGAAGGCAGGGGCAGCACAGTTGTTACTGAGCCATAGGTGATAACGGAGAACATTTATTTTCAAAGAACACAGCCCTCTGCCACCTTCTGCCACAAAGCAGTCGTCAGGAAACTGAGTGTAAAACATGCCCGTTACTATAATTTAGCTCTGTCTGAAACAAACACACTAAGAGCTTTAGAACACTGCTACTTAGTTAAATATACAATGATATTTTGCTTTCAGGTTGGAGGAGTACCTCAGACAAACAGGTCAGTAATATAACATCGATGTCAATGTCCTTCTTTCCAGAAACAGTATTTTCTCACCTTAATAGGAAGTAGGCAACCAACAAAGAAAGAGTGTTTTCCAGTTAGGAAAAATGAAAAGAACTATGTTGGGGATTGGTTCTAATGTTTTGTCTTAACTCAGCTCCCAAAATCACACAGGAATCTATGTTTTCAGATGCTAAGGGTCCCTGTCCCCAGCTGGTTTTTGACTGGTCAACAAAGTTACTAACAGCCAATGGCTGGGCAGGAAGATGGAGGCAGGACTTTTAAATTTTCTGGACAAGGGACATAAGGTAGAAGGAGGAGCAGAATTACCATAATGGGGAAGCAGAAAGCTCAGACTTAAGAGCTGCAGAGAGAAATCATATAGTCATGTAAGAGTCAGGAGACCAGCCCCAGGAGCCACTCCCCTGATTGGATCTGGGGTAGCAGAGATGAAATACAGATTTATCAAACATTAACTCAGAAATATCAGAGGGGAAAGTGGGTTAGCCACGTGGAATTAGGGAGAAGCTCATACGTTGCACTGTTAGGACATATTAAATTTAACGCCTGAGTTTGTGTCTTTCCTTTTGGGGATCAAAAGAATTCTGACAGGTGGTGAGAAGTGTGATCACACACAGGGATCTCAGTGTGGTTTAACAGATTACCACTACAGAACTGCCATGTTTTTGTTAGCTGGGTGAAAAACTGGAGTTTAATACATACAACTTTAACTGGACAGTAGACCATTCCTATTGGAACTTGTGCCAAATCATTTTCTTCTGTAGAAAAAAGTATTTTCTAAGTATTACTTGTGATTAAGTCTTCCACTGAAATAAGTGAACTTTTGCATCATGTATAATCTGCACCCATTCGGACAGGCTGTGATGCTTGGCAGTCGGTGGTAGTTCTGTTAGTAGAACAGTCCCATGTTCACCAACAGACCTATAGCAAGCTGTGATGCCCAAGGTGTGTGATTTTAAATTAGACAATCTCACATCTGTATTCTGACCCAGCATCTTACAGAAAAAGGGTTAAGATAAGACTTGGACATGTCTTTTACAGGGGTAACAAAATCACTGCCTTAGGTGGAAAAGAAAGAAATCTGAAATACAACTATCTCCAAATTATTTTGAGTCTGCCCTTTCCAATAACATAATTTGTTTATCAAAGAAAGCAAGAGGTAAAAGGGGGCAGTTTTGTTTAATAGGCCAAACAGGAACCTCATAAAGATAGAAGATTTTCTCCCAAGACTAGAAATTGGAAGACAATTTAACAGTAGAAGATAATCTTAACAGTACTGAATGTGAAGAATCCCCAAGCTCAAAAACAAAACAAAACACAAAAAACAAACAACAACAGCAAAAAACAAAAACAAAAAAACCCAACCAAACAAAAAAAAAAACCCAAACAAAAACAAACCAAAAAAGCCACATATCAGATAGTAGGACTACATGGCCTTAGGAACCAATACTTTCTGTCAAAAATAATGCAGTTCTGAAAACTTCTACAAATATTAAACATGTATAGAAAATGTCTTTAACAAAGACTATAATGCAAAGAAACAAACAGAACAGCATCAATTACAGAAAGAAAACCTATTCTTCTAGAACTGTAGTCATTCAAACCGTCTGTTCTTCCATCTTGAGACTATAGCCATCCCGGCAGGGGGGAAGACACTCTAAAGGAAGATAATTGTGCTGATTAGAAGAGCTAACAAGTGGCTTCTCAGGCCTAGGCCACTCCTCAGGCACATGGCCCATGAGGTTTCTCTGCTTTCCAGCAGGGTGATGAATACGACTTACAGTAAGACACAAAAAAATGCATTTAAAAGCTTTATATTGAACATCCTGAGGGTAGATTAACCAGTCTCACTTCTGATTAGAACAAAATGCCTTACCGTGCTACGAATCCAAGGGAACAGTCACAGTCACATCACAGTCAGCCTGTGATGAGTTCATGTTAGCTAGGCTTTAACAAAAGATATCCTGTGAATTTTCCACCAATAACATACACCCAGCAAAGAGTATCTTTTCACATGTAGAAGCAGCATAGAAATATAAGTACAGAACTCATGGGGCTGGTTAAGATGGTTCAATGGGTAAAGGTAAGCCTGAAAACCTGAGTTCATTCCTAGGACCCACATGGTGGAAGGAGATTAGTGACTCCTACAAGTTATCTTCTGAACTCCACATGCATGGGCCCACTCATTCACTCATCTATCCAACAACAAATAAATGTAATACAACAATGACTTTACTTCTAAGTTCTCCTAAACAAGCAACACTGTCAGCAAGAAGACCAGGAGATGACTCAAAGACCAGGCAAACCTACTCAATTTCAGTGTAGGCTCCACTCCTTACCATCTGAATTAGTTTATTTCCCTTTGCCCAAACCACTTCTACATTCATAAGCGGCAAGAACTGCACTACTTACTGTATTTGGTTGGTGGAGGAGTAAATGAGATGGCAGTTAAAAACTGTACCCAATAAATGTTAGGTATTTTCAAGAAAATGCAAAAACTGCTATAAAATAGTTTTCCTCTATCAATCAGGCTCTGAGGGAGTAGGGGGATATGGAGAGACAGATCAGTGGTTAAGAGTGTATGCTGTTTTTGCATAGGACCAGAGTCTGGTTCCCTGTACCTATATAGGGCAGCTTACAACCACCTATAGCAGCAAGCTCTAGGCGGATCTTCATTCACATGCACAAACCCCCAACACAGACACACATGCATATTAGAAACAATATAAATCTTAAAAAAAATTAAGGGCCAGTGAGATGGTTCGGTGGGCAAAGGTGCTTGCCTGCAAGTTTGACAAAAGCTCAACTCTGGCACACAAGGCAGAAGGAGAGAACTGACTCCTGCCAGTTGTTCTTTGATCTCTACATGCTTGCCCACATACATATATAAGTACAGGTAATAAAATAAAGCTATTTAAGGCTATCAGTATAAACAAGAAGACTAACATTGTGATAAAACGTGGGAGATGGTCAACTAAGCAAAAACTTACTTTATACTTGCATAGTAAAATGTTCCAAACCAAATACCAGAAGTTATTAGATGCACAGGAATTAAAACTTTTCCATATTGTCTAAATGTTTTCTTAAATCGTTGATACAGACTAATAGATTTGTCTTGTAAAGGATCTGGTTCTTCCTTTTTTTCCGACGGAGTTTCCTGGGATGTGGAACTGGAAGATAAAACCCTCTTGGATAAAAGATCCTTCTCCCATCTTTCCTGGCGAAGGGCCCCCAGCTGAGGTGGCTGAGCATCTGACAGATTCCTTTGCTTCGCAAGGCACTGAACTGCAGATAAATGTAGCCACTGCTTTCGAAGGTGTGGTGTCCAAACCACTCTGTATTCACCTCTGTGCACAAGTAACGGTCCTTTTATGCTCCGATGGTGATCAAAGAGCCTGGCTTTCTGTGCTTCCAAGAATGTCCTGAGTGCCAGCCGAGACATAGTCCGTGGTACATTCCATTGCATTTTGAAGGACAGTGATCGGTTTCAGCGTCTACAGAAACTAGATTTAGAAAAAAAAAATTCTATTATATACAGATTTCCATTTTAAGTCAAAGTACTTAAAAGTTAACTACTTTCCAAAAGAAATAAAAGGACAAACAGGTACTTAACCTGCAGGAAAAATGGTAAGGTATATAGTTTTAAGGCACTAGAATTTTAACATTTTATAAAACACATTCTTTAAACATAAGCAGTCTGCTTAGCAGACATCTCAGAGGGTAACATTAACAAACACTTTTATAACTACAAACGGGATGTTAATAACAACTCCTCTAACCTACAAAGAATTAATGGAGCACAAATCTGAGTACAGATGTTTTGGGGACATAATTCCATGTACTTTGCTCTCAGATTCCAAGCCCAAGTCAACAAGTTAAATGATGAATACTTTAATAGGGTTCTTACAGAACCATGTGCTACTCTGTAAATAAGTTACTTTCATAAGTGTTAAGGTTTGAATAGTTGTGATCAGTACCAACTATTCTATAATAACCTTTAAACAAGTAATAATAAAGTTGTAAATCACATACGTTATTGATGATGATAAGAAACAGCCTGGTATTTTATCTTCTTTTTCACCTTATATCAAGAGAAGAGAAAGAAAAAAAAAAAAAAGATGTCTCGTGATTTGATTTGGAATTAGTGTTGAATTCAGAAATGACAAGGTACTTGGAAAGCAGGAGGATCACAGAATGGGGGCCAGGCTGGGATACAAAGGATGATCCTGTCTAAAGAACTCAAGGGACTAGAGAGATGGTGCAGCAGACAGGGGTACTTGTTGTTCTTCCAGAAGGCCTAAGTTCTGTTCCCAGCACCTACAACTGCAGCTTACACACATATAATAATGCAAAGATAACTAACCTCCCCCAACTCTCCTGAAAGGTAAGAAATTATAAGAACTACTAAGATAGTCCTTATTTCATCCCAGCAACTTATTACTTCTAACATTTTGAAAACAGATTTTATATTTTAAATTGCAATACTACTAAGAGTCAGTAAGATTTCAATAATAATCCAGTAGTTCCTGACACCTACTTTTACATGAAGATTCATTATCTGGAGTAGACAGCTGACAGAGAAAGCAAAAGCTGTCATCATATAAAAGCTTTTATTAATGAATTATCCAGCTTATAAGATCAACCTTATCTCCTCTCTAATAATTAACAGCACTCCTTACCAGGTTCTCACAGACAGTTCTACATCAAGTGTTATATGGTAAGTAAAAATGCCACCATACATTCCCTTCATTGATGGATACTGCGGCATCATCTTATAGCATTAAAACCCTAATTGTAAAGGCTGCTGCTTTAGTTGTTGCCAGAGCTAAGCCAGATCCTGAATAAATGTCAAACACTGTTACTGCGTATTTTTTGTGAGCACTGATTTTGCACTGGTTCTGTAGTCTATCTACATAATGAAGTTAGAAGTATCTTGCCTGTATGTATTTGTTAGAATTCTGAATTTGCACTTTTCCAAAGGAGATTTATGTTCTTCTTATGTCTGTATTGTCCTTCATATCTCATGCTACATAACTTTCTGGTTCCTACCTATCTTCCATTTTGTTTTAAAGACTCATTTGTATTTCAATATGTATGTGCAGATACCTATAGAAGCCAGAAAACTATCAAAACTCCTGGAGCAGGAGTTATAGGCAATTTTAAGTCATTCAACATGAATGCTGGAAACTTGAGTCTTCTAATCAAGCTATCTCTCCAGACCGTTTTCTACTTATATATTCCAGGGGTGCATTATGTCCTTTAAATACAGAGTAGCTCAAGTGAAGTATTTTATACCATGTGGGTCTTTACTGTCCATTCTACCCTTCCCTTCTTATTTCCTATCCCTTCCCTTGAGAATTACTGGTGTGTTCTGTTCTCTCTTTGTAAAAGTCATGGGTAGAAACATGCTTGTAGTAATGCTGTCCTAACTAACTTCAGGTATTTTGCATTCTATGCTTATGTTCTTGTTAATGCTTCTATCTGTGTTATACTTAGCTGAGGTTTCTTGTAATCCCTTTCAGTACTGACATGGCCTTTTGTCTTTGCCGTTTATTTCATAATAATTTTTCGGCTCACCTGTGGAACTACAGGGCTTAACTACTTGTCATTGTTCCCGAGTCTGTGATTTGTAAATTTTGATTTGTTTTTCAATTATGGATTGTCTGGCTGGAAGTACTACTGCAGTACTTTCTGCATCCTGTAAGACAATGAAATGCTGTTCAATGTCCCAGAACCATACTATTCCGGGGTCTGAGGGCTGCAACTCTCCATTTCATTTTTCCTTGAGCTTTCCTGCCCAGCAGGGGTGTTTTCTGACCAGATAGACTCTACTCTGATGTTGGGATGGCATGTTCTGCCCTTGGAATGAATTCCGGCAAGTCTATCTCTATCTTGTGTGTCCCTTCTATGTGGAGCCCTGACTTGAAGCCAGCATCCCTGCTGTGTAATCACTATTTCTGGGCAACATGTTTCTGGCCAATTTGGATACTTGCCAGTTCTTTTGGATTCAATTTTATCCATTATAGCAACAGCACCATACGCCTGACAGTTTGACAGTCTGCATCCTTCAATACCTCCTAAGTTAGCTAAATACTTTTTTCAAATAGTATATTATTTATTTGATGTTTTAGGAATTTAGTTTTCTAGAATCTTACTGGAATAAAATTGCATTGTGTATGTATGTTCCTTGATCCAAAATAGCCATGTGCGATAATGACTTATAACTTTAATTGTGCCCTAGGTGTTGTGTATTAAGTTTTATAAGGTACACAAATAACCTTTTAATGTTTGAGTCTGTTGTTTGTCTCCTCAATAAAATTCTGTGACCTTTTGTGATTTTAGGATGATGTTTACATAAGGGTAAGTATTTCTTCCAGTAACCAAATAGAACTTGACAGACTTTGTGCATCCCCTTTAGATTTAGGCACCCCTGTTACCCTAATTTTGTTTTCTCTTGTTTTGATATGTGCCTTTAAATACATAGTTGCTCAAGTGAAGTATTTTACCAAGTGTGCCTGCCATTTGATGACCATGTACGACCTAAAATTTAAGAGGTGTATGGTCTTAGTTTTTCTCATTAATTCACCCCTCTCCCCATCACCTAGTCAAAGGACCATTCAGGCCTGATAGTCTTTAAGTTGTGCTAAAGATATGGGAGAAATAATTATCCCTTCAATGATTAATACTTTTTCTTCCCAGAATCCCTACTCTTTGTGCATTTGCTACAGAACCACCATCAAGGTCTATTAAGTCTGCTCTTCTTTCTGCGGCATAACTTCCCCTTTCTTCTCTTCTGTCTCTCTCTTTCAGATGCTGGTCTTCTCCCACTGTTTACTTGAAGCCTTCCTCTACTTCATAGAGCTGCTCACACACCACATAGTTTTCTCTCCTCTTCTCTACCTTCTTCCCCTGGGCAGCTACCAAGATTTACAGATGGCACATGGATGAGGTTTTCCTCTTAAAAACTTACCTTATTATTTGTATGTATACAGATGCCCCTGTAAGCATGACGATGCCACGTGGGTGGGTGCCTGCAGAGGGAGAAGAGGGCACCAGAACCCTTGGAGCAGGACTTACAGGCAGTAAGTCTCTGAGTATATGTGCTGAGGTCCTGAGGCCCGAACTTGGGTCCTTTGTATGAGTAGTAAGAGCTCTTAACTACTGAGCCATCATTCCAGCCCCATGGGTGTGTGTGTGTGTGTGTGTGTGTGTTTGTGTGTGTGTATTTTCCTTTAACTAATAAAATTGTCCTTGAGGTTTTCTGAGTCGGTTTTTAAATTACATTTAAATTCTTTTTTTTTTTTTTAATCAAGACTAACAACCTCAAGGACTCCTCAAATTTCCAATAGTATAGAGAAGGAACCCTGATTTGCCAGTAGCAGATCCAGAACTTAATTACAATTTATCTTGAACCAATTTTAGACTTCTTAATCATTTCTTGCCCACCTATGTGACCTAATAACCTATGCCTATCAGGTAAAAACTATCAGGTAGAAACTAGTCAAAAGGCTAAGAATGTCATCAGAGAGTATTTGAGGCCAATAGCAGAGACTTCCTGCTTTGTTGTACTTCATTTACAGGACATTTCTACCAATGTATTTGAAAAGTGTCTTGACTTATGATTTTCTATGTTCTGTTAATAAGAAACCATTACTTAACATGCAATCTGGAGTGACCTAAATCTGTGTTCTCATGACATCATCACTCTATTTGGATCCATAATAAACACTTATCTCCTTTGGGGTAATTAATGTTTTTTTTGAGTCAACAGACTTTTGGCAGGTAGCATCTTGATGACAACCCAAACTTTCCATGAGAAATAAGCAAGAAACTAGGCCTTTGTTAGTTTTTATCCTCTTCCTTAAAATGTAGCTACTAATATTTTTGTCATAGTAATTATTATGACAATTAATGTGTATTACTATACATTGTAGTTTCCCTTCTTCATCTTATCACCCTGAGTTGCTCAAACCTTGGCTGCTTTCTTCATTGACCCATGAAAAATCCTAGTGCAAAGGGCAGGAGGTAACATTATAAAAACACCATTCCCCCTTCTCCTTACATTCATAATCAACATCTGTGACCAAATATGTGCCCCCCTTTCCACACACACACACACACACACACACACACACACACACACACACACCAACCATACAATTCCTCAGGGGAAAGCAGCTAGACATCTTCTATTTCAAGGTGACTTGGACACTATACTCCAATTAAAGTTAGATTTTGTTGTAAAAGGTTAACATTACACTGACACTAAAACCAGACAAGGATACAACTAGTATAACTGGTGAACAAAGAACACTAAAATCCCCAACAAATGAATCAATACATGTAAATCAATAAACATAATCTACACAAATAGACTGAAAGATAAAAACCATAGATCAGCTTGTTAGATGCAGAAAAGGTTTGACAAAATCCTGTTGTAATTACTTAATCTCAAGGATTTTCTACCCTATCTTTTATTATTAAGTTCCCAGATAAAATATACACAACCTTTATATTTATAATAAGCCTTACTCAGCTCTAGAGCTGGGTATATATCTACCCTCTAAGCTATTAGAATGTACTTCCCCATCAATAAACCTGCATTATAACTTGCTATGTTTCATCTGGGCTGCTCTTAACTCCAACTGGCCAGCTCTCATGGGTATGTTTTCATGACTCACTTACTCCATGGTCTCTCTCCTTGTCTCTCTCTCCTTGTCTCTCTCTCCTTGTCTCTCTCTCTCTCTCTCTCCTTGTCTCTCTCTCTCTCTCTCTCTCTCTCTCTCTCTCTCTCTCTCTCTCTCTCTTCCCTCCCTCCCTCCCTCCCTCCCTC